GTCATCAGTGTATTGCAGGTTGTTAACAAGTCTTTCTCCAATCCTGATGCCACGTTCTTCTTCATATAGCCCAGCTTCTTGGATTATTTGCTCAGCACACAAGTTGAGTAAGTATGGTGAAAGGATACAACCCTGACACACTCCCTTCTTGATTTTAAGCCATGCAGTATCCCCTTGCTCTGTTTGAATGAGAGCCTCTTGGTCTATGTACAGGTTTCCTCATGAACACAGTAAGTGTTGTGGAATTCCCATTCTTCTCAATGTTATCCATAATTTTTATGATCCACACAATCAAACGCTTTTACATAGTCAATAAAACACAAGTGAACACCTTTCTGGTATTCTTTGCTTTGAGCCCAAATCCATCTGACATCAGCAATGATATCCTTTGGTCCACGTCCTCTTCTGAATCCAGCTTCCATTTCTGTAAGCTCTCTGTCAAGATCCATCTGACATCAGCAATGATATTCCTTGTTCCACGTCCTCTTCTGAATCCTGCTTGCATTTCTGGAAGTTTTCTGTCAGAGAACTCCAGAGAGGGTGGCTCACAATACTCTAACCTCTCCATGTGGGGTCCCATCTGGTGCACCGGTCACTGCCCTTATCTGAGCTTGCAGCCAGGGTCCATCCCCGCAGCCCGCAAAGGTAACACACACAGCACCTTCCATTGGGAGCCTTGTGGTTCAGTGAGGAAGGTGCCGGGCAGAGAGCTCGTGACTTAGCCAAGGTCACCCAGTTGGCTGGAGAAGTGGCAGGACCCTTGGAAGACCTGTATGCCTCCTTGCTATCTGGAGGAGGGCTGGAGGGGCCAGTGGGGGTTCCTTGGACCCTAGAAGTGAACAGCATCATCACAGGGCCACTGACGGAAAAAGCTGGGAGGGAAGGGAGGAGGTGCCGAAGGGCCTTCACCAGCAGTGAATGACGGGGTCACGGCTCAAGCCGGGGCTGTGAGTGAGACCCTGCAAAGGTCCACCCAGCATCAGAGGTACATCGGCCTCCGCTGCAGGGGCACGGAATCTCTGCTGGCGCAAATGGTAAGCGCTCGGTTACTAGCCAAAAGGTTGGCAGCTCAAGGCCAGCCAGAGGAGGCATCTTGAAGAAAGGCCTGGTGACCTCCTTCTAAAATGTCCGCTACTGAGAACCCTACGGAGCACAGACCTACTGTGACACACACTCGCCCGGAGCTGGAGGCGACTTGACCCCAAGTAACAACCACGACAAGCTGCCGAGGAAGCTGGGACACGACGAGAGGCCGGTCCTGGCCCACAGATCCACCCTCAGCCCCTGGGGCCGGTCTGCTGCTGTCTGACCAGGAATGAAGAGGCGGCAGGTGTGGGGCCGTCCCCTGGCCTCCCCTGCCACCCTGCTGCTCAGCTATCAGCCTGTTTCCTTTGTGAAATATTTAAAATTGGGCAGGCGGACCTCCTAGACTCAGATTCTGCAGGGGCCCTATAAGAACACGTCGTATTTCCTATTTTTGATGAAAACACTGCCCCCACAGCCTCATCAATCGACAGCTCCCTAGGCTCTCTGCAGCCTCTGGCAACTGAAAATACGAGGCTGCTGCCGGGGACAGGGAGTCGGGGTTCCAAGCCCGGCCAGGGCTCACGGAAACTGTCTTGCTGTCATGTCCACCTCCTCGGGCCCCTGTGCAGCTCTGGGAGACGGCCAGAATAGAAGTGCTGTGCTTCACGGCAAGTGACCCCATGGCTCCAGGAAGCAGGGAAGGCGGGAACTGGAAAGGCACAATGCGTCTTACACCGTAAGCGAGCCTCCTGTGAAGCCCGTGGGTTTTGCTTGCGCTCCTCTCTAGCGGCGACTTGCTTCATGTGGGAAGTCCTGCTGGAAGCGGGGCATGCGACTCGCGCTCAGCGCCCGCGGGACGCCGGAGGAGGCGCTGCGGCTCCCAGACCCAGAGCCGGAGGCGGGCCCTTGTGGCGGTGCGCGGGGGCTGACTGGGCCAGAAGTGGACTCGTCGGAGCGCAAGGGGGTCCTGGGAAGAGCCCCCTCTGGACGGAGCAGCGCCTCCGACTCCCGAGTGGGTGGTCCAGGGTGGAACTCCGGTCCTGCGCAGACCCCCTTCCTGTTCCTAAGGGGTGGTCCCGGGAAGACCCCCCCCCACGCACACCAGGTGGTAGGTCCTGGGCGGAGCCTCCCTCTGACCCCGAGTGGGCGGTTCTGCGCAGACTGCCCCCCCCCATCCCAGGTGGGCCCCTGCACTGGAGGAAGGTGGCTGCGTCTGGTGACCAGCGGCCTCTCAGGCGCATGCGTGCTCTAGGAAAGGGCCCACGCGGCGGTGGCTGCGTGCATCATACCCCCGGCTCTGCAGACCGTGTAGCACAGGCCTGCGTTTGCTTTGTCGATGCGGGAGTCTGAGCCGGCAAACCGTGCGCCGGCCACAGCGCCTCTCGGCGCAGGCCAGGCCCCCATCGCTAAGCTGGGGCAGCTTCCTGCCCCTCCTAGGAGCCAAGCTCTGAGCTATGCTAGGGACGGACTGGAGGTGCAGCAGACAGAGAGACTCAGAGAGACACAGAGAGAGAGAGAGAGAGAGAGAGATTCAGAGACAGAGACAGATTCAGAGAGACAGTATGAGAGACAGTATGAGAGAGACACAGAGTGAAAGAGACAGGGAGTCAGAGAAAGAGACTCAGAGAGAGACAGAGACAGCCACACAGAATGAGGGGGAGAGAGGATGGAATGAGAGACAGAGGGCAGGGTGGGGGGAGAGCTGAGACAGAGAGAAATGTGTGTGAGAGACGGGGTGGGCGTGGAGGGGGAGAGAGAGAATGGGAGACAGACAGAGGGAGTGAGAGAGAACGTGCACACAGTCCTCCACCGGGAGAGGGGACACACTGGGGGCAGAGACCCCCGCAGAGACCCTGCTGTGCCTCGACCAGCCCTGTAGCTCCCTCATCCGCCGGCAGAGGTGCAACCCAGCCCTTCCACAAACTGCTTCCCCCGGAGGCATCTTTTTTTCCGGTCACCCTGCACTGCCCTGTCGGGGTGAACAAGTCAAACTCGGGATTTCAGTGTTGTCTCTGGGGCCAAGCCAGCGAGGGGCCTCAGCTCCGGGAGCTCTGGCGGGGGCTCTGGTCACAGTGACCCGGAAGCTTTCCACACCCCTACCATGGTGGTGTGGTGGTGGTGGGGGTCCGGCTCCTTACAGCATCTCTCAGCCTGAGCCTTCCCCCTCCCCCCTGAGCACATGGTGCCATGGCGGTCGTTTTCCGAGCCTGCTTGCCTCCTCCCTGTCCTAGGTGCATCTCAGCATGGAGACCTGTCCAAGCTTGGACAGCTTGTCTAAGCCTGTCTGTCCTCATCCCCAGACTGGAGGATCCAGGGACCAGGTATCTGGTCCACCTCACCCTGGGGCAGACAGGGTTTTCAGTAAACAATTGTTCAATTAATGAGTCAAAGAGCAAATGAAGGGAAGAATGAATGAATGGCAGGTGAGGGACCCTACAGCTCTGAGCCTAGCACAGGGTGGCAGCAGGCCTCCCTCTACAGCCCAGCAAGCCCCTGTCGGGGGTCCCAGCAGCCCCCTGCAACACGGGGCCCAAGCTGGCCTATCCGCTGGAGCCCTGACGAGCAGGATCAGCAACTACCCACCAAAGCACCTCCTGAATATTGTAACATACTCCTCGGTGAGCCCTTGTCCCCCCAGGGTTTAGTTCTGTGCAGCTCTGAACTCGCCCATGCACTGAGAGGAAGGCGCCTTTGTGCCCCAAGGCCCCAGCATTTGGGATTCTGCAATCTGTGATGGTTCTGACCGAGCCAGCCGCCAGCCCTGCCTCCCACTCTGCTCCTTGGGACAGCACTGGGACATGTCCTTGGCTGGGCTCACCCCTTTGTCCTGTGAGGTAGCCGGGGGCAGACACTTGGAGGGCACTGGCCCTGCCAGGGCAGGAAGGGGAAGCCACAGTTTGTCACTGAGAAGGCAAAACATGCAGAACCAAGTCACTGAAGATGGAGCCACCTGGAGAGATGTTCTCCACGGATGAGGCAGGACCCAGGCTGCCATCTGGGCCATCTCTACTTCCCCTCCTCCCTCCCTCTTCCTTCCATCCACCCACCCACCCATTTACTCATCCATCCACCCACCCATCTACTCATCCATCCATCCACCCATCCATCCATCCACCCACCCATCCATCCATCTACCTACCCACCCACCCATCCATCCATCCATCTATCCATCCATCCATCCACCTACCCCCCCATCTATCCACCCACCTACCCATCCATCCATCCATCCACCCACCCACCCATCTATCATCCATCCATCCATCCATGCATTTATTCCTTTGATCCCTCCCTCTCTCTGTCCTTCTCTTCCTCCCTTCCTTCCATTCAGTCATCCTCCCTGACTGTCCCCTATGGCCTAGGCCTTGTTGGGATGTAAAATTAAGTGAAGGGGACAGCTGGGCCTGGACAAACCTAACATTGGGTGTGATGGGCCTGGCCCTCGGCAGTCCCCAGAAAACGTTTCCTGAAGGGGTAACTGAATGAGACACCCCAGCACCACTGTGACCACCTGTCTAGATGGTCTTGAGATGAGAACATGAGGCTGGAGCAGGGGGCCAGGGTGAGGGCAGAGGGGCCTGTGGCCTGAGGACTGAATTCAGCCAAAAGAGGCAGCTGGAAACTGGCCGAGTGGCAGAGGGGTGTGGAGGGGGCTGGACTCTGAGGGCCGCGTGTGTCAGGACAGGTCCAGGGAGGGGAAGCTGGTTCTCAGATGGGACCGGGTGAGTTCCTGTAAGTCAGGGTCCCTGAAGAGCGCCACATGTTCCACTAAAAATAACCAAATATGTCATTTTTGTGCTAAGTCAGATACCATCTCCGGCTGGATTCCTGGGCAGGCAAGTTGGATCCAGCGCCAAAGGTTTAAACATTGGGATTGGAGGTGGGGGTGGGGGAGAGGGGGCTGAGCGGAGAACATTCCACATGCACAGGTCCCCGCCCTGTGAGTGGGGACGGGCCACGGTGTGGCTCACGCGGCAGCAGCTCACCCAGCTGGGCCTCGTGCACGACAAGTGGGGGCTGAGCTGTGAGCGGTGTCCCCAGTGGTGTCCCCCACCGCGACAGGGCTAAGTGTCGCTGTGTGCGGAGAGGGGTTTTCACGGTGAGGAGGGTGGGGTAGCAGAGCTTCCTGGGAGCGAATGGCAAGAACAGTGAGTGGCTGAGTGCGGAACTGAGGCTTTGGGGGGTACAGGAAGTCGGGAGGAAAAAGCGTTGCACAGGGTTTCCCAAAGTATGTTCCAAAGGTAATACCAGCTTGATGGCTTTCCTAATGAAAAGGGTTCCAAGTCAAGTAAGTTTGAGAAACATTGGCTTGACCGCCATAAACAGGCTTCCCCTACCCAGAGTGCTAGCTCATGGTGGTTCCCAAACGTATGTGCCCAGAAGCAATACAAGATGAGGCCGGCATCAGCAAAGGCGGCTGGAGGCCTAGGGGAGGCTCTGATAGCCAGGAGGAAGCATGC